GTGCATTGTAACAAAAGAAAAGGTTAAGACATCAAAGAAAAACAATAAACATGCAAGATAATACATGCCCATATTTCATCTGCTAAAACATGATACACAGACATAACTCTTATTATTATCTTTCCTGCATATCTCAAATGAACACCAAATGTTAAAGTTTGAAAGTTTAAAAAAAAGAATTGCGAATAGACTATCTGAGCAATGAAGAGGATTGATTGTCTGCTAGACTACGCACACTCATTGCAGTATGCAGTATAGATTTTTGACACAGCACATTTAATTTAACAACTTTGAAATGATACCGGATAATAGCCATAAGTAAAATAGCTGCTAAGACCAATGAATAAGATATACTGAATATGGTGGTTTTGGTCCTTGATAATTATTCAAAATGGCCCATCATAATTAGTTGTTTGAATCACTGAACTACATATACCACACATAGCAATAAGTAAAACGGAACACATACGACAATTGATTTGCCTAAAAAAAGCATAAACTTTATAAAGCAACAAGGGCCTGGTAATAGCAATCTGCATAGCCATGGTAGATAGTGGAATGGCTTACCTGAGGCACAGCTTTCCTTTTACTATGGTCACTATTGTCTAATACATAGTTCTTCCTAAATGTTAAATATTGTTTGAATCCCTGAGGTGCTTTGCTTGTCACCGGACATAAACTTTTATGTCTCTCAGCAACAATCTGGCGTATATTTAAAAACATTTCAAATGAATTTGTTCTCTGTTCAGGAGCCAATCGGACTGGAGGTTCTAAAACAGATTCGTCATTGTTTTGCTCACGATGCCTCGCCATTTTACGTTTTCTTGGATGTGATTCAACAACAGGAGGAGGAGGAGCTGGTTCCGACGGAGTTGTTGTTGTTGCTTCAACTTGGTTTCTTCGGCTCCTTGTAAGGGGCACATTAATAGTTTCTTTCTCTTTCTCCTGATTTGAGTTCTCACTCCCAGAATTGGCCTGTGCCTGAGCATGTGCATGTGCATGTGAGTTCGATCTCAAAGTCCTAGTGACTCTTACTGGTTTTTCTGACAGTTCATCTGTTTTTGACACACCTGTTGATACTCCATTGTTTGTCTTTGGAGAAGATTTTCCAGCCTGATTACTAGACTGAATTATATTCTCGGCAACACCCACTTTTATTGTTAATTTCCCTACCGTTGGCACAAAAGAATCAGACACTCTCTTCGGTGATGATCGTTCTGAACCCGAACTGGCAGATTCGGGCATTGTTTTGGGAGACGATTTACCAGAATTAGTCTGTGAAATCTCAAAATTAATATTGCCAGTCTGAGATTTATCTGATCTAGCAGGTGACGATTCCTTGGAAGAAGCCTTTTCCGCTTTGTCACTTTTGTTTGAATGAGTAGAGCTGTCTATTGAGACTTTTGGAGAGTTTCTTCCAGATGATGATCTAGTTATTATGCCTTCCAGGGCCGAAGACGACCTTGTTGTCATTTTTCCAGTAACACCTAAACAACTCACTGTTCTGGCAGAACTATTCTGACTACTTGTAACAGTTGCCAGCTCATGATCATTATTTTTATTATATCGACGTCTATTATTTGTGGTTACCTCACTCCCAGTTGATGCAGCTGGACTTGCAATTTCTCTTGTCCGTCCAGTTTCTCTAGGTTTCAACAACAAAGTTCTAATCTCGCTAGCATCATTAACACATGAAACAGGATTGGATGAGGTAACACTATTTTTTATTGGCTGTCCACCTTTCTCATCAGTTTTCAACAACCGCAATGTATCTCTAGGTGGACCATCCATTACCTGCTTTTTATCAGTTTCACTAAATACAAATTTATCAAATGCCTTATCTTGTCCTGTTACTGACCTCTGTGGAGAGGAATGCCTCCCTGTTTCTTTGTTAGGACGTTCACTCTCCTCATCGCGTGATCGTTTTCTCTCATCACGTTTAGGAGAAAGTTGAGGTAGTCTAATAGTAATTTTAGGAACTATTCGTACATTGGCCTGCAAACTTTGGATCTGATTATCCACAGAGCTAGGGGGCTTTATACTGTAAGTAGTTACCACATTTTTGCCAGGGGATGGCTTAGGGGGACTTGCAGTTTGTTGCATTGTAGAGAAAATATTCCTTTCTTGTGCTGATTCCTCCTGAGTCAAGTCTTTCATGACTTTATCTTCGGTTTCTTTCGATGAATCAGAGTCTGACGAAATGGAGGAATCAGATGACGACAAATGATCACCATTACCGCTTTTCGTACTCTCAGAGTCGCTAGAGTCACTTGAGTCACTGTCTGACGAACTATCTACATGCTTTTTATCTTCTCCATCAATGTTATTATTTGAAAGTTTTTTGAGGTCGTCAAACAACTGCTGAGGTTTCAAGACCTCTACATTCTCCTTCATCAACGATGGGAGATTTGGATTAAACAATTCCTCTTCAGAGCTTGTACTTTGTAAAGTGAAAAAAGAAACGTCCATGCGAATATCATCTTGCACATTCTTTGCCTCCTTCATTCTGAACCTGTTTGGGG